CAGTCTCAGACCCAGCAGGACACCAAGAGAGGCAGAAGCCCAGTGCGGAGAGAATTGGGAGGGGCAAGTTTTTAGATGGTTAAGTTTGATGTGCGGCAAGAAGAGTCAAGCAACCAGCCTGGGACACTTGGTCTGCACACCCCCAGATGTGTGAACACCCTTCTGTGCACACCCCCAGATGTGTAACCCCCTTCTCTGCACACCCCAGATGTGTGAACATTCTTCTCTGCACACCCCAGATGTGTGACCCCCTTCTCTGCACACCCCAGATGTGTGAACACCCTCCTCTGCACACCCCCAGATGTGTGAACACCCTCCTCTGCACACCCCCAGATGTGTGAACACCCTTCTCTGCACACCCCAGATGTGTGTAACCCCCTTCTCTGCACACCCAGATGTGTGTAACCCCCTTCTCTGCACACCCCAGATGTGTGAACCCCCTTCTCTGCACACCCCCAGATGTGTGTAACCCCCTTCTCTGTACACCCCCAGATGTGTGTAACCCCCTTCTCTGCACACCCCAGATGTGTGTAACCCCCCTCTCTGCACACCCCCAGATGCGTGAACCCCCTTCTCTGCATACCCCAGATGTGTGAACACCCTTCCTGCACACCCCAGATGTATGAACACCCTTCTCTGCACACCCCCAGATGTGTGTAACCCCCTTCTCTGCACACCCCAGATGTGTGAACACCATTCTCTGCACACCCCCAGATGTGTGTAACCCCCTTCTCTGCATACCCCAGATGTGTGAACACCCTTCTCTGCACACCCCCAGATGTGTGAACACCCTTCTCTGCACACCCCAGATGTGTGTAACACCCTTCTCTGCACACTCCGCTAATGGTGCCAGGGAAGTGCCCAGTGTGATCCCGCTGGGCTTCTCCTGGCCTCTGCTGAGCAAGGGTGAGCAGATGGCTTTTCCCAAGGACACTGTCCCAGGAATTTTAGGGAAACCAAAGAGATGCACCAGAGCAGTGGAGGGGAGGCTTGGTACAGAAGTGCACATAGTGAATATAGAGGTTATTCACACGATGGACTGGCAGAGTCGGACGCTGAAAAGCATGAGGGCCAAGAAGGGCTTTGGGTGTTTGCCATCAGGAGGCAGGGGAAAACAGCAGTAGAAGAGTGCCTTTGTTTTATTGGGCATGTTACGTGGATTACAAAAGGTTAAGTAGCGACTAAAAATATGTGCAACTAATCTCATAGACAAGGAATGCATTTTTCTAATATAGGCTGGCCCTATATTAGATCCTTAAAAGACCATCTCCAACCAGGCAAAAGACAGGAGCAGATGATTTACAGAGGGAGAAACACAGAAGGCTGAGAAATAAGAAGAGTGCTTGAGTACATCCATAAAAACAAACGCAGATTGAAAGTGTGCTTTTAGTGTTAGCCATATGGGATTAGAGTGCAGGGCTGACCTGGGGGTGGGCAACCTATCAGGGGGCTCGTCCGTGAAGAAAACTGCGTCTCGCTCTCCCCCAGCAGAGACTAACTGCCTGCAGCTTTTAAACTGGAGGTAAGGCCTTGTGAGCCCTTCCCGCCATGGTGGGAGGTTGACTTGTGTAGTCTTGGGCAGGCAACCTTCTGGAAAGTTCAGGGGAATCACCCCTGTCATGTTCAGAAGGTGCCATTTCACAGCAGGCCTCCCCAGCCTTTGGATCCTACAGCCTTTCCACCTCTTCTCCCACAAGGCTCTCTCAGCACTGGATACAGGACGTACTATAGATGTCCTTTTGGGGGACGTGCTCCCCACAATCGCTTTTTCTCCATACTGTGGCTCATTGTGGGAAATAGCCACCGGCTGCTACAAAAAGGCGCCTCTTTGATGAGGGCTGAGAGCTGCAGTAGTCTACAGATAAGGGTAAGCGTTTAGAAGACAGTTGGATTTATCGTCAGTTTAGCAAAATGGAACCAAGGATCCATGACCTCTCTAGCCACAGGTTCTGGGATACATAAACGCATACATACATATAAAATTACAGAGGAAGAGGACATGAGTTTTGGAGAGGGATGTGGGGGTACAGGAGGAGTTTTCAGGGGAAGGAGAGGGTGAATCCAATAAAACTACGTGTGAAATTAAAAAAGATTTTAAAATTATACTTTTCACCTAACACAAACAGCCATTAAAAAAAAATCTCTTTCATAGTATGAGGGGAAACAAGGCGCTCCCGTGTCTTGCTGTGGGTAGATGAGACGGTAAGGTTTCTGTGGAGAGCAATTTGATTTGAAAATGGAAAATGCAGTTTCATTCTGTGGCTCTTTTTCTGCAGAAGTGCTCACAAGGGTGGGAGAGCAGATGTGTGTAAGGATGCTCACGGCAGCGTGTGTGTTAGAACAAAGGGCAGAGAGATCCTTAATGTCCAGAAAGGGGAACTGGCGACGTCTTCGCAGTGGGATCTTGGCGGCCATTTGGAAGAGCGAGGCAGCTTTGGCTATCCTGACACAGGACAGCCTCTAAATACTTTCAGTGGAAAAAAAAATAAAACAAAAACAAAAAAACAACCAACGGTAGAAAATGTGTACGGATGCCTCCATTTGTCTAAAAATTCCAATCAGTATATGTGCATGTGGTCTATGGAGACTAAGGAAGGAGCTGGGCATGGGGAGATCGTGGGGTCAGGGAGACTGGTGAAAGGACAATGGTTCACTGTACATCTCTTGCAATGTTTTAAGTTCCGAACTGGAGGGAGGCAGGTGTTAACTGTTTGAGAAATGGGTGAATGAAATCGTAACAGGGAGTGGGTGGGAGGAGATGAAGGCTGAAAGTGGAGCCATTCTTTGGAGAACTTCAGCGTAGAGGGTGAGAAGAAAAAACGTCAGGAGCACAGACGAAGGGGTTGGAGGGCAAAGCAAGAGCAGTTCCGTCATCTTCGGCTACCCACTGAATCCAAGGCTAGCCTGGGCTATAATTAGACTCTGTTAAAAAAAAGATGGGAGGAGAGAATAGACCCACAGCGAGCGAGCGAGAAGGGGGACTTAGAGGAGAGAGGGATTGGAGGGAGCCAGTGATGAGCA